TCCAAACACAATTAAATTCACTCGATCCAGGAGACACAGTTTATAGGAAAGTATTTTTATCAGGATAGTATTTTTAAGTAATAACTCAGAATAAAATAGGAGTAACGACTTTCTACTTCTTACCTTTTAAAAAAATGTAGTGAGTAGAAAGTACAGATAATTACGGAAGAGGGTTAGGGCCACTTTTTAATTTTTCAGTGGCCCTAATCCTTTTCCATAGATAATTGTGTAAAACTGTAATGAGTAAAAAAGATACGCTGAAAAATAATTACTCAAGTAAAGTACAGATAACCAAAATTTCTACTTAAGTACAGTAAAGTATTTGTACTTAGTTACTTTACAGCTCTGCTTATGTGCAAGTTTGAACATTTCTTCTCTTATATTTCAATTCCTCCAACTTTTAAAGAAGGTATTAAAATTTTAATATTCAAAATGTGCTTTCATTAGCTCGGTTATGGCTTTCACAATAGTGTCAAACTTTATATTTTACTGGGAAGAAGCTTTTTGCTGACATGAAACTCTCACAGCTAAAAGTTCATTTTATCCTCAAATAGATCTGCAACGAATAATATGCCTCCATCAATCCAGTTACTTTTATATAAGCTTTCATGGCAGCTTCTTGAAAACACGAAATTAAAAAAGTGAGGTAATGAAAAGATACAAAAGGTTTGTCAGAAGTGGGATTCGAACCCACGCCTCCATTCGGAGACCAGAAGCCCCGCAGATCCGGGAAGGATTCACCTTGAGTCTGGCGCCTTAGACCACTCGGCCATCCTGACAACTGAGCWTTCCGTGTTGAAATACTAGTATACATGAAATACTAGTATTCACTGGTGTCAGTACTCTTTGTGTCTAAGTGTATGACTTGTATATTTATATTTTCTGTATTTATTTTTCGTTTTAAGATCCTCGCCAGGCAGATTAACTACTTTTAGTCCACAAAAACGAACAAATCATGTACAAGTTCCGCCAGGGGGTGCTGTTTGTGTTGGTTATGAAAGGCACTTCCGGTTTTAAGTCACGTGACTCTTCCTTACAAAACATAAACCGAGCTGTTCAGAGCAGCGGCAGCTACACGAGAGTTAAAATGACCTTTTATAGAAACACGGTTTGGTTTATGAAAGGACTCCAGGAGTACACAAAGTAAGTATGTTGTTGTTTTGATGTGATCAGTTGTGTTTTTGTGGTTTATGCAACATTTACAGATCAACAATCAGATAAGTGATAACATTAGGTCAACATTATATGTAACAGGGACACTTTCATTCTTAGGTGTGTTGCTTTTAAAACGTTTGGTATTGTTATTAGTTTT